TCGAGATACAGTTCACGTACTGTAAAATTCACGGCCGTAAATTAGGAACGGTGTGGCCGTTACCTCAAACCGGTGTCCATTTTCCGCCAGTCCTTCCAACCACGAACCTTTCTGCCTTCGACATTCCTTGTAGACAGCAGTGCATGCACACAGGCCGTGTCACCTGCAGCCTTCATTCCAGTGTCCTTCATTTGTAGGATGCTCTCCCGTGTGTCAGTAGCTTGTTCAGGAAGAGTACTTTATCCCGTGGACATACCACATTTTCTCTATCCCTTCACCATCTCGTGGACATTTGCACTGTTTCCAGTCTGGGGCTGCATGAATCATGCTGCCATGAGCATTTGCATATGAATCTCTGTAGACATGTTTGCATTGATTTTACATGGACATATGGGGGTAGAATTGATGGGTTGTATGGTGAGTTTCTGTTTAATGTTTTTAGAGACTGGCAAACTGGCCGGGTGCAGTGGCTCACACCTATAATCCCAGCACTTTGGGCGGCCGGGCAGGCGGATCATCTGAGGTCAGGAGTTGGAGACCAGCCTGGCCAACGTGGTGAAACTTCATCTCTACTGAAAATACAAAATTAGCTGGGTGTGGTGGCACACGCCTGTAATCCCAGCTACTCGGGAGGCTGAGGTAGGAGAATCGCTTGAACCAACGGGGCAGAGGTTGCAGTGAGCCGCCCGACATCGCGCCATTGCTCTCCAGCCTGGGCAACAGAGCAAGACTGTCTCAAAAAGGAGAGAAATGAAACTGGGAAACTGTTTTCCAAGATGGTTGTGTTGTTGTGCATTCTCAGCAGTGGCATCTGAGAGGTTCAGTTTCTTTATGCTGCATCAGCACTTCTCATTGCCTTCAGTTCTCGTTCCTAATGACTACTGATGTTGAGCTCTTTTTTTTTTTTTTTTTTTTTTTTTTTGAGACAGAGTCTTGTTCTGTCATCCAGGCTAGAGTGCAGTGGCTTAGTCTCAGCTCACTGCAATCTCCGCCTTTCGGGTTCCAGCAATTCTCCTGTCTCAGCCATCTCAGCAGCTGGGATTACAGGCATGCACCACCATGCCCAGCTAATTTTTCGTATTTTTTTAGGGACAGGGTTTCGTCGTGTTGGCCAGCTGGTCTCAAACTCCTGACCTCAAGTAATCTGCCTGCCTCAGCCTCCCAAAGTGCCGTGATTATAGGCGTGAACCTCCGTGCCTGGCCGGATGTTGAGCATTTTCATGTTTATTTTTACTTTTTTTCTTTTTAAACGTTTTTTTGTAGAGACACGGCCTCCCTACGTTGCCCAGGCTGGTGTAGAATTCCTGAGCTCAAGGCATCCTCCCGCCCTGGCCTCCCAGAGTGCGAGGGTTATAGGCGTGAGCACTGCGCCCAGCGCTGTTTGTTTTTTGCATCTATATGCAGTCTTTGGTGAACTGTCTAGTGAAATCTTCTCACCATTTTTTAATTGGTCTATATGTCTTCTCAATGAGTTGTAAGAGTTCTCTGTGTAATCCAGATACAAGTCTTTTTTTCAGATGTATGGTTTGCAAATATTTCCTCTAACTCTGGCTTGTCTTTTTATTTTCTTAGTGTGTCTTTTGAAGCACACATTAATTTTGATGAAATTCATTTTATCAAAAAAAATTTTTTTAATTCATTTTATCAATTTTTAAATTTTATAGATCGTGCTTTTTGTATCTCATCTAAAAAGTCTTTGCCAAACTAAAGGTTGTGTCATGGAGATACTTGCTTTTGTTTTTTCTTAGTTGTTTACTAGTTTTAGCTCGCATGTGGAGGTTTCTGACCCGCTGTGTGTTAATTTTGCATATGGTGTGAGGTAGGGACTAAGATTGACCTCTGCATGGAGCTCTTCAGTGTATCATTGCCATTTGTGAGAAAGATTATCCTTTTATCCACCCCTATTGGTGACTTGACTTCTTTGCCAAGAATCACTTGACCACATATGCATTGCTTTATTTCTGGACTCTCAATTCTGTTCTGTGGATCTCTTGTCTAGTCTTACACAGCATCATACTATGTCAATTACTTTTGCTTTACAGTCAGTTTTGGAGTTGGGAACTGTGTGCCTTCACCTTTAATCTGCCCTTTGAAATTTATTTTGGATCTTTTGGGTCTTTCGCCTTTTTGTGTAAAACATAGGATAAGTGTATCAATTGCTGGAATTTTGGGAAAGATTGCTTTGAAGCTGGAGCTCAGTGTGGGAAGAACCATCTTCACAGCATGGAGGTGTCACATCCACCAGCCTGGCCTCTCTCCCTCCGCTCCTCTGTTCCGTCTCCCTCCCCTGGACTGCACCGGTCATGGGTGCTGCTTCTCGAGTGCTGCGCGCCTCCCTCGTTCTGGTCGCCTCCCACGCTCTGCTCCTCTGTGCCTTTGCTTTTCTGTCTGCACTTCCGCCTAGATCCCGTCCGCTGACCCATGCCTGACTTCTTTCCTCTTTTCTGCTGTGTCTTGTTTGTTATTAGGTCTATTTAATGAATCTTCATTTCAGAGCATCTGTTTTCAGTTTTATGATTTTTTGCAGTTCTACTTTTCTTTGCAGTTCTCCATTTCCCCATGTTGTTCATCTTCTGAATTCCGTGATCTAGTTGTTGCAGTTACATGAAGGCCTTGTCGGGCGATTCTGGCATCTGGATTTCCTGAGGCTCTGCTCTGTTTCCTCTTCCCTTCAATTTGGGGGTCACATCTTTGTTTCCCTACATGCTTTGTAACAGTGAAGGGTTCCAGTCTTTGTCTTTGAAAGAATGATATCATTTCTTCCCTGGAGATTCCTGCCTTTCTCTGCCAGGCAGCACGGGGAGGCACTTATAACTGCAGTCCAGTGAGGAGTGGGATGGGCCAGGGATGGACAGTGAAGAGGGAGATGGGCCGGGGATGGACAGTAAGGAGGGGGAATGGGCCAGGGATGGACAGTGAGGAGGGGGGTGGGCCGGGGATGGACAGTGAGAAGGGGGATGGGCTTGGGATGGACTGCAGTGTCAGCTTTCATCGGCTCGAGTCTCAGCACTGTGTGGACGAGATCTAACCAGTGCGTCATGGGCCTCTGTTAGGGGCTGACCCCACAGCACAAAGCATGCCCTCTGCCCTCTGCCACAGCCATTCGGGGCTCCATGTAGAACATCTGCAGATAGAGAGGGCCACGGAAGGAGTGTGGCTCACCAACTCTTCCTGAAGCTTTATGGGCGACACAAGAAACCGCCAATGAGTGAGGAACTTAAAACATATTTATATTTAAGCAAGAAATGTTTATTATGGAATAAAATATATTCACATGACTCTTAGATAAAAGACTTCACCTATTGACTAGTCACTGCGTGCCTCTCCATACTGGAAACCGTGCTAACTTGGGGTCTGCCGGTGGCTGCCAGGGCCTCCTGCCAGCTTCCCCAAGGTGCACGTCCTCCCTTCTCTGTGTTGCTGGAAGAGCCGGCCCTACCTATGTCTCTCCATGTCCACAGATCCCAAAGCCTTTTCCAGCTCTCCCCACAATTGTTCTTCCCCCACCCTACGGTTGCTCTTCCCCACCACAATTGCTCTTCCCCCTCCACAATTGCTCTTCCCCCAATGATTGCTCTTCCCCCTCACATTGCTCTTCCCCCTCACATTGCTCTTCCCCCGCCACACAATTGCTCTTCCGCCACATGATTGCTCTTCCCCCTCCATGATTGCCCTTCCCCACCATGATTACTCTTCCCCCCCACTGTTGCTCTTCCCCCGCTACGATTGCTCTTCCCCCCCCACAATTGCTCTTCCCCATCCACAGTTGCTCTTCTCCCTCCATGATTGCTCTTTCCCCAATGATTGCTCTCCCCCACCACGATTGCTCTTCCCCCTCCACGATTGTTCTTCCCCCCCCCCGATTGCTCTTCTTCCTCCACGATTACTCTTCCCCCCCACGATTGCTCTTCCCCTAATGATTTCTCTTCCCCCCCAAATTGCTCTTCCCCCCAAATTGATCTTCCCCCTCCACAATTGCTCTTCCCCCCATGATTGCTCTTCCCCCTCCACAATTCTCTTCCCCCTCCACGATTGCTCTTCCCCCACCATGATTGCTCTTCCCCCACCGCGATTGCTCTTCCCCCTCCACGATTGCTCTTCCCCCTCCACGATTGCTCTTCCCCCCCCCGCGATTGTTCTTCCTCCTCCACGATTGCTCTTCCGCCCCACGATTGCTCTTCCCCCAATGATTTCTCTTCCTCCCCAAATTG